GCATTCCTGAATAACAAGTGGTAAGTGTATCATCCCTGAGGTTTTCACCCTCTGTTTGACTTTGCACTACAGTGAGGAACTCACAAGGTACATGCTTTTTCTTTCCCCTTTAGGGGAATAAAATCCAAGCAGGAACAAACCAAACTACAACTAAACATTTCACAAGCACAACGTTTTACCTGTCAACTTGTTCATGATGTTTAGATACTGTGCATTAGAGACAAATCTGGCAGTTACAAATTACAGTATGAGGGTAGATTTTTTTTATCACATGTTCAGTAAATACCAATAAATTAAATAGTTTGATAGATTCCGAACTTCTGCTGCTGATTTGACAGTAAATGCACCAACACTACTATTTTCAGTAAAACATCAAAGATAAACAAGGCCATATATAACTTATTTCTGACTGCCACATTATAATTTAGTCCAATCATGAAAATGCACCAGTGGCATTCCTTTATGCACTGTTAATGTAGGTAATTCATATATACAAAACCTGTACATATTTGTTTAATGCAGACGGATACTCTAGTCACTTGAAAAGCCACATTATTTGCATGTTTAAAGACCTTTGTCATTGTACATTATATTTACAAAACAAAATATACCCAAAATGTCAGAATAAAGTGACACAATCTTAAATTATCCCCCTCATATCTTTCATGTAAGACCTTTTAATATACCTTTCAAGAATAATACACTTATGTCTACAAACACTTACTTGAGTTACTTTTTTGTTTTATTAAAGCCATTTATATTCATGGTTACACAAGTGATGATAAAGATATAACCTTTAGTGAATAAATATTGATTAATAAATAAATACTGGATTCATAAAATAACTCCAAACATATCAGTTTCGTTAGGTAGGTAAAGCGAATTAAGCTCTTCCCTAACTTTAGGAACAAAAAGCTTTCTGAGGAGCATCAGTAATGAGCCCCCTACTAATGTTTGAAACATGTCCAAAATGCCTCTGTTGACGCGCCGTCCCCACAAATCCAGTTTGGCTTTAAATGCAGCTACTTTATCTGCCAACTTGAAGACAGTTGTCATTTTCCCCTGAAGTGACAGATTGAGTTCATTGAGCAGGCTGAATATGTCGCACAGCGCTCAAGTGACCGAGATGTAACCAAGAGAATGCGGTCATTTTTCAAAATAAAAGATCGTTCAGACTCAGATAATAAATAAAATGGAAATAATAAATGATTTCTTGTGCGGCCCGGTACCAATTGAGCCACGGACCGGTACCGGTCCGCGGCCCGGGGGTTGGGGACCACTGCTCTAGATGGCCAACTTCTTGCCAGAGTCACCCAGCACACCAGCCTGGTCACTCTCATACTTTCTGGCAATCATAAGGAAAGTATCCACTTCAAGATCCTGAAGACTTCTAATTCACCCCTAGTGCTTGGTTATACTTGGCTGAAGTCCATAATCCCCACATTGATTGGACCATTGGAAGAGTTCTTTGTTGGAGTGATTATTGCTCCTCAGCCTGTCTAATGTCTGCCTTGCATCCTAAGATGGAGTCCACAGACATCCCCAGCCCAGAGGCCCCAGACCTTACAGGGGTCCCCGAGCTCTATCATGACTTACAGGAGGTTTTCAGCAAGGACCTGGCCCTCTCTCTGCCACCCTGCAGACCCTAAGATTGTGCAATCGATCTCTTGCCTAGCGCCCCTTTGCCCTCCAGTAAATTATAGTGTGTCTAAGCCAGAAAGAGAGGCTATGGAGAAGTACATCAAAGACTCCCTGCAGGCCAAGCTATTCCACCTGTCTTCCTCTTTGCTAGGTTCAGGGTTTTTCTTTGTAAAGAAGGATGGTTCTCTCAGGCCCTGCATAGACTACTGTGGGCTCAGTGCCATAAACATTAAAAATAAGTACCCTTTACCCCTATTAAGCTCATCATTTGAGTCATTTCAAGGAGCCACAATCTTTACCAAGCTTGACCTTAGCAACCCCTACCACCTTGTTCATGTCAGAGGGGGAGACAAATGGAAGACAGCATTCAAGACTCCCCTAGGCTACTTTGAATATAAGGTTATGCCATTTGGATTCACCAACGCTCCAGCAGTCTTCCAGGCACTAGTTAATGACGTCCCATTCTCCTGCCTTTTGAATAAATAAATATCTTTGTTTTGTCTGCTGTCTGAGTTCTGCTTTGGTGTCCTCCCTTGTGTGTTTTGTCCTAGGATGTAACAATAGGTGGCTGGCCGCTAGCTGTTTAGTAAGCTCCGCTCTTGTTTCACCTTTTTGCCCAAAATTGTTCAGTAAAAACAGCATGTGTGTGGTCCTGCCTCTTGACTGAATAGTCTAGTGCAGGGGTGCCCAGTACGTCAATCGCGATCAACCGGTAGATCGCAAAGGTAGTGTTGGTAGATCACGTGCCATTCAAAAATAAATTAGATGTATACGGCGTAAAACATGTGCCAAATGTTAACACGCAAATGGTCAGATACCTGAGCATGTAATGTTAATTTTACCTGTGATCCTTTGAATAAATCAGCACTGTTTTGAAGTTACTTGGACTTCCTCGTCTCTCAGAGTTAGCATGGTAAGATGAACCATATCCTACAGGGGTGTTAACTAGGTGGCACTGTGATCATTACATCATTGTGGGGGATACACTGTAAGAGCTAGGGCCATACACATATCTGTCACATATTGGCCATGGTTCCACCGTGGTCCAGCCAGCAATTTAAGTTGGCCCCATCTGTAACAACTCCTGCTTCCATTCACTTCTAAATCTTCATTGCCGTTTCATTTTTTTCATAGTCCATCTTTTGTGTTTCTGGTTCTTTACGAGATCATGTTAGACGTTTGACTAGGCTTAGTAAACTCATACTGTAGCAGCCCCAACATAACAGCTGCTAGCTGATGACAAGTGACCTCATTGTTCACTGTTTTTGTATGTTTTGAATGTTGAACTAAATGGCACAAACAAATTGAGATGTTTCTGGAAAGTTAACAGTGTATTGGTGAAATGCAATGGATATTATTATTTTTCATTTAACCTTCAATTAAACCATTATCATGTACTGATTGTCAATACCATTAGAACCTCCAGGGGTTTTCATCCATAGTACAAAGGGCACAATGCTACAGTCTCAGACTTTTGTTGTTGTTTCTTTGTATTTTGATTTTTACATTTTCAGCACCTCCCTGCTCTCACCCCACCTTACAGGTTAACAGAGGTGAACTGTTGTTTTTCTATGCTGTCCAAAATGTATATATACCAGTACAAGCTTTTGATTTACATTAAGGTACATGTGATGCCATCTGGTGGTTTAGTCCTCTCAGACATTATGACGTCCACACAGAGGTGGACTGAGCGGGGCTGGGGACTTTTTCGGACAATTCAATTCATATTCTCTGTTGTTAATTTACTGGTCTATTTTTTCTAATTCAAGTACTTTTATGAGTACAACATTTTAAAACTGTGCACCAAGTTTGAATTTCAGAGAGTTCCAGTATGCCCAGGTTATGATTTTTGCAATTGAGGAGATTAATAACAGCACAGACCTACTACCTGGCATCTCTCTGGGCTATAAGATCTATGATAATTGTGACTGTATGACCAGAAGTGTGAGAGTTGCACTGGCCTTGGCTAATGGTAATGAAGTTGTGTCTGCACCCACTGAGGCACCATGTACTAGACCTGGACAAGTGCAGGCCATTGTAGGAGGGACCTCTTCCTCTACTGGCATGGCTATGGCTACTGTCATTGGACCCTTTCATTTCTCACTGGTGGGTAAGACTATTAACTATTAAATTATAAATAATCATTAATTAGTAATTAATGTGCAATTATTTCAGCTGTTCAGAGCAAATGTGAATGTGTATCATAATGTTTTTTGCAAACATAATATGTAGTATGTCTAGCCAAAAGATATAATTTGGTTCAGCTGTTACTTGCATTAGGGCATGAACAATACAAATTATGCAAGCCAAACAAAAACAGATCATTTTATTTAAAAAAACAAAAACAAATGTAGATTATTGCTGCCAGTGTTGCCTTGTGTGAACTGAATGTCTTCTAGAGCAGCAAAACTTAAACATCTTCCTCACTAGTACACGCTACTTTGTTGATGGTGACAATATCAGGCTGTTCTTAGGCTCTCTCATGTTGTCTCAACCCCTCATTAGATAAAATAAAAAAAATAATTGATATTATTAAGGCTTCCACCTCCAAAGTTATTGTAGCATTTGTCGCAGCCACAGATATGAATGTGCTAATACAGGAGCTATCTTACTACAATTTGACCGGGTACCAGTGGGTAGGAAGTGAGAGCTGGATTATTGATTTCAAGACAAAAGAAATGGATACACATCACATTCTGAATGGTGCCATAGGCCTGTTCATCCCCAAAGCACATGTCAATGGCATGAGAGAGTTCATATTAGATGTGATGGCTCTCAATTCATCTAGTAATAAATTGTTTACTCAGTTCTGGGAGACTTTATTTAACTGTAAGTTCAAACAGTCAAATTCATCAGCAGAGAATCAGACAGAATGTACTGGACATGAAGATCTGACTGGAGTGCAAAACACTTTCACTGATATGTCATTCATGCCTAAACTTAACAATGCCTATAAAGGAGTGTATGCTGTGGCACATGCACTTCATAATATTCTTGGATGTAATGAAACATGTAACAACAATGTGCAACTAGATCCACTCACAGTGAGTACAACATTAAGTACTTAAGAAATGTTACCTTCACAAACACACCAATGTTTGTTTTGAATAATTAGATTCATAACTTTATTCTTAGATTTTACAGCACATAAAAAAGATTCATTTCAAAACCAAGGAAGGAGATGAGGTTTACTTTAATGAGAATGGAGACCCACCTGCAAAGTATGAAATTATAAACTGGCAGCCAACAAAAAATGGCATTGTGGACTTTGTCACAGTTGGCCTTTATGATGCTTATTTGCCTGCAGACAAACAGCTGAGTCTGCAAAGGAAATATTTAATTTGGGCAGAGAACTCAAACCAGGTAAGCAATGTGATCACTGCACATACATTATTTATTGCTGTCCTGACTGGAGGTCACTTTAAATTTTTGTTGTATGTGTTACAATGACAATAAAGATTATCAATCTATCTAGCCATTATTTACAGTATAATCATTCTAACTGTAGTATTGTTATTGTATCATGCAGGTGCCTGTGTCAGTTTGCAGTGAGAAATGTCCCCCAGGAACTCGCAAATTTCTCCAGAAAGGAAAACCTGTCTGCTGCTATGACTGTATCAGATGTGCAGAGGGAGAAATAAGCGACATGACAGGTGTAGTAAAAATTAAAATAAGGTTCATAAATGATTATCATGTGTCCACCCATTTTATAAAAAAGAATCAGGGCTAAATAACAAACACATATTTGTACAACACAAACTACATCTTCCATAATGACCAAGCACTTGATTAAAAACAAAAAAACTGAAATAGTTTCACCTCCATGATCATAATAACCTTTATTTATAGATCACTTTTCTAAACATTTGTTACAATGTGCTTCACATATACACAAAACAATACATTGAAACAGAATACAATAAAAATGGAAAAGAATAAAAAATGAAGGTGTGTTAAAGGGTCACAAAGGGCCATATAAACTAAAACCTTCTTCCTACAGAAAGACTCAATGTTGATGAGTATCACAAACCTGAGTAAAATCTGGAGTCAGTTAGTTTTGAGCTGAAAGAGAAGATGGAAGTCTATTTATATGTGACTTGTGCAACTTAAGTTTAAAGGGTCTGTCTTTTACAGACAGAAACGAAACCCCCCCAAAAAAGGTTAATC